AATGTTTCACTTCAAAACAACCTCCAAGCACTGTCATCTATGTTGTCGAAAAGAAACCTTCTGAAAAATTCCTAGGACAGCCCATAAGTGTTTTCCAGTTACAGGAAAAGGTTTGCTCTGTCAGTTGTGACCTCATCCCCACCGTCACCTTGAAAACTGGTGCCGTCGCTAGAGGCACACACTGAATTTCTGGACTCTTCTAGCTCTGCGTATTTCTTTCTGTACCTGTCCATCTGTCTATGTCCCTTTCTAGCAATTGCAAGAGGACAAGAAAAAAACAGAAATGGAAGAAACATGCTGTGTGTTATTGCAGAGTGCCAGGACCCAACAAGCCCTAATTGCCCAGATGAGCCTCATCTGTGGCCCCTGCCCACAAACCCTCTGCCCGTTGGCCCAGGAGCCGCATATAAGCTCAGGCTCTTCTCCTTAACCTTCTTTGAGTGATGTAGGCAAGATCAGGCTTGCTCTTTCTTGGCTCTGTTTTGTGTTTGGTGGTTACTGGGCTCTCAGCTGAAGCTGTTGCAGATGCCACCTCTGCCTATCTCTGCTCTGGAAGGGTGAGTGCGCGCTTTTGGGGAGGGCATGGCTCTTGCCTGTGCTGTTGTCACCCTCTCTTCCCGGGTTGTTCCCTCCTGGAGCAGCCCTGCTGTTGCTGCTCATTGACATTCAAGTCCTTCCAGGAGCCTGTTCTCAGGTTTCTCATTCACCTTCAAGTAGTCCCTATTTGCTAGTGCCTAAGAGAATGTGGTTGCTCCAATTTGACAAGCAATATTGCTTACTTCACGGCATTGGGGGTTTTTTTGCCCCGAGATCTTAAAAAACTTTGCCAACATGTCAAAGAACGTCTTAAAGAACTTTGGGAAGGGAAGCGGGTTTTTGCTTTATAGCTCACTTGAGAAAAAGAAACTTGATGATGAGAAGGTTTTGACTAAAGTAGCTGATAGCAGCTCTATCACCTGCTAGTCCTCCTATTTAGAGCATAGATCTTAGTTCCCTTCAGTAGAGCAGTGGATTCTTGTTCACATAAAGGATTACACGTGGAGCGTAATGCCCTGTTTGTGACGCCTGACTTGTGCTCCTCCCAGCTATTTGAATGGAGTGCTTACAGCAGTTATGTTTTGAGAAAGGAGCCAAGCACGGGGTAACCAAAGCACTAAAAAGCTTTTAAAGCTATTCTTGCCATATAACTTAACATGAGGTGATGTCCAATGGGGAAGCTCAAGTCACCCAGAAGTAGCTAGCAGTTGGGAATATGGTGATTAAGTGTTGTGGAAGAGAAATAAAGAGGCCAAGAAAATGATGCAACAGGTGTAGAAGATGATTTCTGAGAGCAATAGCAAAGTAGGCAGGGAACCATCCCCTCCAGCTGCCTTCTCTGAAGGGCTGAATAAAAAACTGCCTGGGTGGGGTAGAATGCTCTTGTGGTCTGCTTGGTGCAGACATCATCCTGTACTAAACAAGTGGCAGGCAGTATTTGGAGCTCCTAAACTGGCAAGTAATATATTCAGAAGATTAGTATTTCCTTCTCTTGAATATTTCCCTTGTTTACTTATCCTTATAGAAAGGTGGATGCCTACAGTAGAGTGAGGAAAGATTGGTGGACATATCTGAAAATCTTCTCTTTGGGAAGCAATTGCAGACAGCTATAGATGTGCAGGGATGATAAAGTCTCTCTCTGCAATCTAATACTGGGGCTAAATTGCTGCATGTGATTGCTCTTAGGAAATGACATTTATAGAAAGAGTTTGTGAAGAATTCCCCCAATAAAGTTAATTCAGCAATGGGTTTACAGCTTTTTTTGGGCGTAATAGCAATTCAACGGAAGGTTTGCAGAATGAAAAAGCAGTCTTCCATCAGACTTCAACTGCTGTGGAGTAGAGACAGAACTTGAGATCGCTAAGAACGGGTCTCTTATATAGAGGCTAAATGGCATAGGCAAAGTCCCTCATAGTTCTTGCTGGCTCTTAAATTAAACTCCTGATTAGGTGCCTATTGCTACCTCTCACCCTGGACTTTGGTCAGTCTAAGCCTTCCCTAAACTGTCGTGGAAAGGGACCTCTCGTTGCCCTAGGAAAGCTGTGTGACTAGACAGGAGGAATCAAGATTTGATTAGGGGAATGCAAAGACTGCAGATCTAGTTGGGACAACAGGTTTTTTAAATAATTTGTGAAGACATGTTTGCCTTCAAAGAAATTTTTGCAGCAAAACTTTGAGACTGGGAGCAGATCCACTGGTCAGCTCTAAAGAGGAAGAGAAAGTACATGCAGAAATGAAAACCTGACTTCTTCCAGGGGAAATCAGCTGTTTTGACACTCTTCTGTGTTACAGAAGTTTTGTGAGGGGTGGGTTTACTCTCCAGCATGCAGAGAAAAAACAAATCTCACCCTCACTTATCTTCATGTGACAGGATTATCGTTCCATGTCTTACTGCACAGACGTCAAAGCCAAGTGAGAAGGTGTGTGGGACTACTGGACTGAAAGTCTTTGCGCAGACCCTTTGTCTGGAGTGAAACTCCATCCAAGGTAAGACATACATTACTTACACAGATTGCAACTGGCACCTTTACGCACTGGTTTCAATTAAAATAGTGTCTTATGGCAAGGATGCTCAAGTTGTTTCTCTGGTATTTTTCAGCAGCATCTGCTGATATGGATATGATGCCTTTATCTCCCTCTTGATATCCTTCTATCACTCTTGCCCTTCCCATACCTATGTCTCAAAAGTTTCTACCACTATTTGTTATACACTTTGAAAAGCCTGGTATTTCTCATTTTAAAGTGGTTCTTGGCTGGTAGAGTTGACTTTAGTAGATGTGAGGATCTTGATCTGCTGTAGATCATAGAAAAATAAACTTCTGTTTTGGTAACTTCTGTTGCATAGAGTGATAAGCACCTGCCAGTTGTCTGGAGTGGTTTGTGTAGCATAGTTTAAGAATGTCTGTCTCATGGGCAGCCTTCACTGAGGGAGGTCTGGCTGATGGGACCGTTTACAGGTCTGTCCCATGACCACAAAGCTGCAGAGCTGGTCTTCTGCACAACAAAGTTGTTGTTGCCCAGCTGGCTGCCAATGATTTCAGCACCGGAGTATTCTGCACATCTGAAAAGTCTGACCTGTGCCACTAATCTGCTGTGTGATCCTGGGCGGATCACTTCACCTGCCTGCAGAATAGATCTGAAAGTGTTCTCCATTATATAGGTATAGAGGTCCATATGCAATCATCTCTGGGTGTCTGTGGCTCTGGGTGGGACAGCCTGCCTCAAGGTGCGTTTCCTTGGGTTTTTGGAAGACATGGGGGTTTTTTTGTGCCACTCATCTGTTTAATAGTCTTTTGTCTTTGAACAAAAGCAGCAAATAGGTTTTGAAAGACTTATTATGTGCTTTAAAAACAACATAGTAACCCCACAAAGACAGCGAAACTAACCTCAAGAAAGTTTCCTTATAAGGGATCAAAGAAAGATGCAAAGCCACTCTTGAATCCAGAAAATTTCTCAAATCCAAAGCAAATTAATTAACAGCTTTGTGTGGGCAACCACATATGCAGATGAAAAGTGTGTTTAATGCCTTCTCGCAAACCCTTTTTGGGTATGTTTCAGACATCTTGACAACCAGCATTCCAACATGCTGACATCCTGGACAGCAGAGCCAGGCCTTTCAGAGCTCCTCCTTATCAAACATCTACATCTCTTACTCCAGCACTTCCCGGTATTGACCAACACAAAAGATTCCGTATTTTTGGGTTTCTCACACGGCAACATTAGCAACAGGATTTGTGAAGCAACTTGGTAATTCTGGTAAATCCAGTAGAGGTTAATTGAAAAAGAACAGCTTTTTGCAAGGCTTAAAAAAAAAAAAAAAAAAAAAAAAAAAAAAAAAACCTAAAAAAGCAAATCCTTAAATATTCTTTTCATGTTTAGGTGAGGCTGCTTTTTCTTTTTCTTAATTGTACACATTGTTCTGTTACTAGCTAAAACTTCCACACAATCTTACTTTATTTTTCCTGTACAGCATAATCCCTTTCCATAAGAAAAGCTACTGAAATTGAGCCAGTCACAGATTTAAGGTTCCATGTTTCAAAAACTAATATTTAGTACAGCTGTCACAGGGCAAACTTCAATGTAATGTGCCACATACATCGCACTCAGATATAGGTATGAAATTAGTATTCTGCTTTTAAATCCTGAAATCACATCAAAGGTGACTGAGCAAGGTTTAATTAAAATTCTAATTACTGCTTTATATTTTGGTGATAGCAAAGCAGAACAAATCCCTGACTTCCTTGCCCTTTAGAATTACAACTGGTGAATAAATATTCATATTCAGCATGATGGCTGAAACCAGTGTTTGGCCAGTGGGCTCAGTGGGTTTCCACAATAGATGTAAGCCAGAGAAGTATAAAATTAGTTTGAAGGATCCTCACTGCTGTCTTCTGACTGGTCATACGATAAATGAAATACATTGGTTTCATTTGGAGTATGGTATCTCATTGTGTGAATTTCCTGATGGTGGGAAGTATTAGGTGCTGAGCGCTCCAGGAGATCTGGCCCCAAGTCTGCAAACTGCTACTTTGACCCTGAATGTGTTTATATACCCTTTACATATTTACCCCACCTGAAGAATGGGCTGCAAACTTCGATGTAGACCCACACACATCTAAAGCTGTTGTTCCTATAGCAGACTTGGTCAGAAATAACAGTCCTAGTTTTGAAAGAGTATTTTCTATATGGAAAAAGAGTATTTTCTATATGGAAAAGGAGTACTAGACCCTTTCCATTATTTTCAGAATTTTATGCCTCTCATCACCAGAGATGTTTTGTTTCATTTGAGGCTTTCATTTTTTACGTTCTCTGCTTTGTGATGGTGAATGTTTTGATTTTGACAGCTTAGCAATAGAAAATGACTCCCTCAGAGCTTTTCTGGTCAGCATTATTGTACACAGGCGCGAACATGGCCCTCCCTCGGGGAAGGCGCTGTAAAAGGTAGAGGGTTTTGCTTTACTTACCAAGAGGCATTACTACAAAGAATGGAAGCCAGCAGAGAACAAAGCATCCCACAACTATTCCCAGGGTCTTGGCAGCTTTCTTTTCCCTGGAGAACTTAAGGAGTCGCACTGAAAAATGATGCTTGCTCTTGGGGTTGGTTGCCGATCCGCTCGCTTCAGGAGCATTTTTACGATGGATCCGAAGGGTCACTTCTTCAGAACGAGATCTCTCTGTCTTCAGACCAGAAGTCAGGCCTTTGTTTTCCCTTTTGGCCACTACATACACTCGGCAATACATCACCAAGATAATAGTTAGGGGGAGGTAGAAGGAGCCTAGAGCAGAGAACAACACGTAGCCAGGTTCCTCGGTGATTTGACAGATGGTCTCGTCTTTTGGTGCTGGTTCCTTCCAGCCAAAAAGAGGTCCGATTGATATCACCAGAGACAATGCCCAAACGCACAGTAATGCCAGGAGACCTCTCTTCTCTGTCATTATACTTGGGTACCGCAGTGGATAGCTCACCCCGATGTACCTGTCTATCGAGATGATACAGAGGCTCATAATGGAAGCAGTGCAGCAAAGGACATCAACAGCTGCCCAGATGTTGCAGAAGATCCTCCCGAAGGCCCAGTAGCCCAAAATCTCCATAGTAGCTGAGAAGGGCAGGACAGTGGAAGTCAAGAGGAGGTCAGCTACGGCCAGGTTAATTATATAATAGTGGGTGACGCTCTGAAGATGTCTGTGGCAGGCTACAGAGAGGATAACCAGAATATTACCCAAAACCCCAAAAACAATCAGCCCCCCTAGAATAACACCTAGTAAAACGGCCTTTGAAATGTTCACAGGCCCCACAGGGTGGGTGCAGTTGGAGCAGTCGGAGGAGTTTCCAGGGAGGAAAGCCATGGCGAGTGGCTGGTAACGTTCATGCGAGGCAGTTGTACTTCACTCTCTTTTCAAGTAGACAGAGCGATAAGGTCAGTTCTCTATACAAGTTCTCTATAGGCAGGTCCTATAGGCAACAGTTGCCTGGCTTTGCGAGGGAAAAGCGTTTTTAAGAACATCTTAGAAGTGCAGCACCAGGAACAATGAGGATCCAGAAACATATTAGAAAATCGACCTTTCTCCCTAAGTTTTTACCATTATAGCACAGTTAATAGCCACCGTTTCCAAGTCAAATTTAACTCCTTTTGCATTTTTCTTGGGGTGTGGAGGTGAGGCTACACAAAGCGGAGGCTATTTATCCTACTTTCCAGGGTTATGTGATGAGAAATATTGGAATTGCAGGTTAAAATAATTTCTGTCTTTTTGGGAACATTCAATATTTAAGTAACATAAATATTCCAAAGGGTCTCAAATTTAAGTTCCTCCCAAGAGGAAGTCACTGATGCTTTTAACTACCTTGTGTTAGTCCTGATTCTGCCTTACGATCTGCTTAGAGACCTGACTCTGGTCAGGTGGAGACTGCTGCTGCTGTGTCTGCTCAGCAATGCCATTTGAGATACCCGCCACTACTCATCGTCAGGGTCTGAAGTGTCAATCAAAGCTTCTTCATGCTATGAAGTCGTTGTTACTTGAGGTCCCGGGCTGCGAGTTAAAGTTCGTTTACATCAGCTTCTGGCTTGCTCTGAAGGGGAGAGAGGTTTGCCGTGTCAACGATGCGCGCTCTTGTGCTCTTTGCAGATCATCACCCCCCTGAAGGAGATAGACACAAACAATATGATTCCCAGAAGCAACGTTCACTACTGCCATGGTTCCCATACAAGAATAGAGTGGAAGGCTATTTTAGGGAGCCTTCCTCGGGCTGGCTCCAGCCAGTGGAACCAACCTTTTTCAGCCCAGTATTGTTTAACAACAGCGAAGAGACAAATGTGGATTTTGTTGCCTGAATTTTCTTGCCGTGTTCTCGGCAGCAGTCTGTTCTCCTTTAGGGATAGCAGTCAATCCCAATTATCAGTTCATCTGCGAAGACCACTTCTAGGAGTGACAGAAACCTGTGGGGGACAATTCAGGACTGCAAACTGAAGTAGATTTAGAAATCCAGAATTTAGTTTAAGATTTCTTTGCTAAGTGACTCCTTTACCTACTGAACTGCTTGTCAGTCCAGCTAAACTGCCCATTTTGGAAATCTATAGGGAAAAGCAATTCCTGCCAAGCAGAAGATGTTGCAAGGAACAAGTTTCCTACGGAGTATCTGGAATCCAAGCTCAGCCTTAGCTGACTAAATATGGAGAAAAGGTAGATCAGATGGAAAAGTGAGGATAAGCCTGGGAACTGAGACATGGGGGGCACGAAGGGGAAAGCTGCCAGTGTGGGCTGAAAAGCCTTTCATGACATCTAGATGTGGGTATAGTATTCCCATCCAAAATAATGATCAGACACGTGAAAACCCACAGCTAAGACTACCCCTGTTAAATCTGAGAAGGTAAGACGCTAAGTGTCCTCATATTAGGTCTTTCAGATGAGTCCCTCAGATTGCACTTTACACAAACACTGAGCAGCAACAACTGTCACATAGCTGAATCTCAAAACTGAATTTTCCTGCAGGTGAAGGTATTTAAAACTCTGAACCCCCAAAATTCCCAGTTCACAAGCAGGAAGGATTGAGAGAGGAGATGAAAATGTGTTGCACTGTGGGAATTTGCCTTCTGTGCACTGAAATGAAATTGGATCTTACGTTTTCTTTCCCACGAGAGGATACAAGTTGAAGAATAATTCCAAGAAAGAAAAGGACAGATTTTACTAAGCACGTCAATGAAAAGTGACTGTAGCATCGAGCATCTCTAACCACTGTAACTGTAGTCATTATAAGGTTGATAGTAGACTAGAAAATTAAGAAATTATCACACTTGGGTTTTAAGCACAAGAAGCAAAACTTCCCAGCAAGTCAAGGAGATGCAGCAGAAAGGACTGACAGAGACATTAATGCTCAAAACCAACTAGATAATGCTCAACCTGTGGAGATAGATGGTTTGGGGAAAAGCATACCCTAGACTCTTGTGCCTGCCCCGATCCACACTCACCTCTTTGGTGTCTAGAAGGCAGCACAGCTCCTCTGAGCATCTGGAAAGGAGATTCACAGCACAACACAGCAGGCTCCTCTCTTCATGCAGGGATGGGACTCTGTGCCTGAAAATCCATTGCTTTTCTCCCTTGATTTCCCCACTAGCATTTGGACGGCTCACAGTTGCACTGATTCCCTGTATCTCAGTGCTCGTGAGGGGCTTGACTCCAGCATCCCCCAAGGGACCCCTCCCCAGTTGCAGTGCTCAGCTCCACACTGTCAAGGAGCAGCAGTAACTTTACTGCTCTGCTGATGTAGCAGGCAGTAGCCTTGCCACTACCGTAATCTCCTGCCATTCCCGTATTGCTCAGAAAGAAAGAGCACTTAATTTGATGACAAGTGGTGTTTTCAACATTTTTTTTTTTTCCATTCAAATCTACCAGTTCCTGCAGAAATCATCAGAAAGTGGAAGGCAGCTAACAAACTCCTGTTTATAGGCTGGCAAGTAATTCTCGTGATATAAAAAGAGAATTGCCTGCTAGGCAAACTGAGGGTGAAGAAAATAACAAGGAGGGGCAGCCCTGCTGACCATGCAATCTGCATGCTGGCACAAGTACTGGGGTAGGCAGCACAGCTACCCTGGAGATGGGGTATTTCATAATATTATTATATTATGATTAATATAATATCATAATAATATTATATTTCATAAGTATGAAATCTCTTGAGCAGAATGTGCTGTTGAGGTGAGACTGATTTTTCACATGGCTTTTTTAATTGCATTTTTTTAATAAAAAAAAAAGTACCCCAGGTCGCTGATGATGAACAGATGAATGTAAAAATGGTGCCCTGAAGTGAAGGGAGGGGGGCAGAACACAGACTGGGATTTTACAGCCAAAGGAAAGCAATTCCTATGGCCGCAGGGAAGCAGATGAACCATGTGCCTGTTCCTGCACGACAGTCTCTCCACTCTTCCTCCCAGGCAGTAACTTCGAGAGGGAAAGCTTGTTGGATTCATGTCTTTCATGAACAGAGGCAAATTTAAAAGCGTTGCTCAGATTCCCTGTGGAGAGCACCGAACACAGAGCTGGGCTTGATCTCTGTTCCAACAACTTTGGACTCTCTGCTATCATCTTGGATAGCCCTTGCTACTGGAAGGAAAAATATAAAAGAAACTAACAGGAAAGTGCAACTCGTGTAGGTTAGGCGAAGAGTTTGGGAAAACGCAGTCATCCCTACCTTATGACAATTCCAGCTACCATATCATTTGCAGTCTTTGCTTTGGAACAAAAGATCCGATGAAAGGAAATTGCAAGGTGGTGGTGAGGGGAAAAAAGAGATGAGAATTCAAGGTAATTTTGAGAAACTTGCAAACTGCAAAAAAGAGAGGTGATTTGTAAATTCTCAGCGTCCACTTCTCCACAGTTTTCTTGGCAATGGTGCTACTTGCTCTGTAGATTTAACACTTGTTTTTGAAGGCTCCTTGGAGGTCTTGAGCTAAGGCTGAGCCCTGCACAGACAGGAGGGTAAGCCTGTACCCTGGTCCTTCCCTGAGTAACAACGGATGTTGGGAGAGAGCGAAGCCTAAGTGAATAAAGGAAATCTTGAGTTACTAAAGACCCTTAAAGATGGTGATTCAGCAGACCTATTTCAGATGAGGCAACTCTATTTCACTCGATCAATTTGAAAATGAGTCTAAATGACTCAGGGGAGGGAAGGGAGATGAACCCCACGCAGAGTTTTGTTTCTACTGATAGGTGGGACCTCTTCGTACTGGTGGCTTTTTCCAAGCTCTTAAATGCACAATGGAAATAAATTTATATTTGTAGCTTGTCATTAACACTGTACTCAAAGTATCAGCTCTCTTATGACTAATACCCTTGTTAGAGGACATCTTTCTGGAGTGGAGGGAAGCAGAAGGAAGTGTCAGACAGTAGGGTTTTTTTTCCTAAAATCCTCAGAGAAAAATTAATGCGTCACAGTGAAGAACTCTTCCACCTGGAGACCACTAACAGTCCAAGGTGACTGAACAAAGTACAGTATGTATCAGGTAAAGATGGACAGGGCAGGATTACTGTCACAGCTAACTTTTATGAAGCAATCTTTGTACTTGGCTCTGGCAAGATGTGCTGGAGTTGCATGTGTCCAATGTAAAAGTTTTGGACTAACCAGAAAGTTGAAGAGAAAGCAATGTGAATGATACAAGTCTAGAAAACTTGACCTGTGAAGCTGGGAAAGGGGAAGCTGTTTAATCTCAAACTTTGCATCTCTGAAGACAGGTGAAAGACTGCCTGTAGAGGTTATGAATATCCAAGTTTTTAAGAACAGATTAGGCAAAGATCTGTCAGTGTTTAACATTTTCTATTGAGAGAGGTTTAAATGTCCTGTAGGGTCCCACCCAACGTGGTTTTCTACAGTTAAGGTCTGAAGAGAAAGGCAGATCTCTGAGTTCAGACAGTGGAAGGAACGAGAGTCCTGGATGTGGCCCTTGTTTCTACTGCAATCTTCTTTGGTGATCTTTGGCAAGTCTATTTCTAAGCGTACCTTCCCTATTTGTGAAGTAAAGGCAATAATGCTTTTCTCTCCCTTCTCTTCTTTTCTGGGACTGCAGTCCTTCTGAAGTAGGGGTTGTATCTGCTCTGCCTGGATAGCACTCAACGCAAGAAAGATCCTATGTGTTCTGTGTCGTGAACTGCACTCAGTAGTATGGGAGGGTCCCCAAAGGAGGGCTCCAGGCAACGCGCAGCTGCTCAGCTGTTTCTAAGCCTCTGGGTCTTCTTTGCTAGTTTTGTTAAAATCGGAACCTTAAATACTGGCTTTTGGCCAGCGTTGTCTTCTCATTACAAGTATGTCATACAAAGGCCCAGCATCCCATTTCTTGTGTGTCCGATGCCACTTAAAT